ATTTGTCACTTATTAACTAAATAAATATTTGTCACTTATTAACTAAATAAATATTTGTCAATTATTAACTAAATAAATATTTGTCACTTGTTAACTAAATAAATATTTGTCACTTGTTAACTAAATAAATATGTGTTATTTATTAACTAAATAAATATTTGTCAATTATTAACTAAATAAATATTTGTCACTTGTTAACTAAATAAATATTTGTCACATAAATATTTGTCACTTATTAACTAAATAAATATTTGTCACTTATTAACTAAATAAATATTTGTTACTTGTTAATTAAATAAATATTTGTCAATTATTAACTAAATAAATATTTGTTTGAAGTTTTGAATTCAAGAAAATGTTTTTGGTAAAAGTTTAATCGTATACATCATCTCAGAGATATGTTTCTTGAGAAGCATCTCAGAACTATGTTTTTGAGCAGAAACCTAATATCTCAAGCCAGAAAAAATATTAATCTATTAAAATTATTGCTCAAAATAAAAGTTTACGTGTATGCCTACGCGTCATGTCAGAACACTGAGTTTCTCTTTACTGTAACAAAATCTTTTTAGAAGAAGACGAGTTATTTTTTATTTATGCGTTTGATAGAACCGTACGTCAGAAAACAGTTGTAAAAAACGTATTTTTTCAGTAACAATTATTCATACGCTGGAGATTTTACCTTACTGCATTCCTTCGAAATGTAAACAAATTAAAATACATTTATTATTTTAGACTTTTGTTATAACAATACATACAGAATAGCATTGTAAACAAGTAAGTTTCTTGTTCCGTAATAGTTTATAAAATTCCAGGTTTTCTGATTACCCCTTCCACAACAGCTACCTTAAAATTCTTTGAGAAAAGTTACTTATACATGTTAGATAGAGTATGTGTATAGGCAGTGAAAAAATATCTGCAAATGACGTATTTCCTGTTATTAATTCGTCACTAAAGATACCAGAATAATCAATATTGGCCTACGGGTATGCAGTGGGCAAAATTATCGCATTAAGTTTTTAAAACAATAATCAATATTGGCCTACGGGTATGCAGTGGGCAAAATTATCGCATTAAGTTTTTAAAACAATAATCAATATTGGCCTACGGGTATGCAGTGGGCAAAATTATCGCATTAAGTTTTTAAAACAATTGTCTTAAAATTTAAATAATTTTGACTTTATAGTGTCGCATCCACAAAATATATTTTTATTTTATGTCAAGAAAATAAGATGTTTCTATGAATGTAATATAACGCACCGTTTCTTGCTACATACTCTTATTGAGCGCAACTTGCACCTCTTCCGAAACGTTTTATTAGGTAAGCCAAACAAATACCTTGTTTATATAATTTTAGCTGATACATTTTTACTCGTCGTATTCAACTTAACGAAACATAAGTTACTTGTAACTTACTCAGAGTTGTTTAAACGATTATCACTATGCTAATAATCTGTGTATTTTATGTTCGACAAAACTTTCTGAGGTATGATCGCTTATTAGTAAATAAACCTTCGTTTCATAAAGCCGTACACAAACGTACTTAAATTAACTAGAACAGTATTACAAACGTTTTTTCAGACAATTGTTGTGGATGTAGCGCTGTGTAAATTGAAAAAAAAGTAAATATATATGTATATATATATAATGTATAAATGAAAGACACACTGTAGTAAAGCATTGTTGTATTGGTTTTGTTGTTCCTGTTATATTATATTGTATATTTTGAACATTTAAAAGCTTCTTATTTTAAAACCTTATGAAGAAAACTTTGTTCAACTGTGAAATAACAAATGTTCTCTTAACTTACTTTAAGTTATTAATTATGTCAGGTTAGATAAATATCTATAACAACAACTTTCACATTTTGCTCTGTTTACACGATTGCAACTTTGTGAGTGAATTCACACTTTACGCATTAGGTTAAATACATTTCATGGTTGTTCTACAAACAAGAACTCGCTGAAATACATGTTTAAAAAATGTGATTATCTTAAGTAGAATATTTTATACGCATGTTTATACATAAAACTTACTGTTAGTGTTTACAACATATGCAAACGACACGTAAATAACGAGTAATTACATGTGGTGGATAATAAAAATGGTTTTCGCTTACACTAAATGTACGTAATATTACTTATATTTTTATGCATTTAAACTCGTAGTGCGAACATGAGTTGTCACTCATTAGCAATGTGAGCTTAAGTACGTATGAATATTGCACATTTTATTTCAGTTATACAGTTACCTGGACTAACCAATAGTTTGCAGTATAATATATGATGTAATTATAGGCTCACATTAATTACTAAAAGAAGAAAAACTCGTCCTTATTTTGTTTCCGTTGCTAAGTAACTTCTTAATAAGGCTTTCAAAGAAATTACAGACAGCCATAAAGACGAACGGATGAAAGTGGTCGATTATTTTGTTCGTTTATTAAAACCACTATTAAAATATCCCTATCAACGTTGAAATCATATAACTTATAAAATGATAAAAGACTAAAGTTTTCAGAGACTCTGATACTTTACTTAAGGAAAAGGTCGGAGGTTAAAGTTCCACAGACATTTTGTACTGTAACTTTCTATCTATTTTCATTTGATATAAAATACTACAAATTATACGGTCTCTAGTGGTCAGTGAAAAGTATTAATTTCAAATATCACTGATACTTTAAAGTGCTTTCACAAATATTGATAATGAGTAATACAAAACAAGCCTTAATAAAATATATAACATATATAAACATATATAT